TCATGACCGTAGATCGAAGACGAATCGATTGCCCCGCGCCACGCGCGTCAAACATGACAGCACCTTGAGCCCCCAGCTGCGACTCAACCGTGCATCGCACAATGTGCTGGTCATGAGCACCCAAATCTGTTTCTGATCGTTCGCCAACCCCCATCTATCTTTACCAAGCCAGCAGCTCGCCTAGTCCATGCTCTTGGAGATACGCATTGACCCCTCGCTCCGTGTTCTCCCATAGTCCATCGCCAATCGTCGGATCTGTCGAAGCGCCGCGCTGCAGCAGAGCGACCCTGCCCACGGGGAGCATGAACCGGCCGGCGAACACCCCGGGCTTGCTCCTCACGTCGAGGGCCGTGGTCGCAAAGAGGGAGTTTCTCGCGCCCTCCGCCGGCGTCACGGCGAGGCGCTGCATCAGCCCCGTGAGCCAGGGCTGGAAGACACTCGCCATGGCCGGCGTGCGGATCATGCCAGGCGTAACAGCCATGACGAGTATGGGTGATGATGATGCAGGACAATCGTCGCCGTACGCTTCGTCGAGGCGGCGCTGCAGATCTCGGGCGTAGAGCGCTGTGGCGAGCTTGGAGACGGCGTAGGCGAACATATCGATGCGGATGAAGATGGGGAACAGCCAGCGGTGGGCCCAGGGGTAGTACGGCACTGGGCTCTCGAGGGCATCCGGGCCGGTGAAGTTTGGCACGTAGCTCGCGGGGATGAAGTCCGATTGCACGTTTGACGAGACGATGACGATGCGGACGTCGGCATCTGGCAGACGCGCTGTCGATTTGAGGAGGGGGAGCAGAAGATTGTTCAGGGCGAAGTGGCCGATGTAGCTGGGATGTCAGGTCTCGCCATCAGGAGGTCAAGTGACAGGCCAGCAGGAGACACTTACTTGACGGCCAGATTGGGCTCTCAGCCCGAGACCGGGCGATCCAAGCCCGTGGTGCCGCACGCGTTGTTGACTGCAGACCTATGTCAGCACCGGGGCTACGGGAAGATGTGTTGGGCTGAGAGCCAGGAGTATGCACACTGATGATGTCCAGCCTCGTCTCGTTTGCCTTGACGTGGTCGGCGGCTGCGACAACGGTCTTGAGATCACTGAGATCCAGGCTGACCCAGGCCAACTGGCCCGGCTTGATCTCCGGGTGTCGGTCGTACATTTCGGACATGGCTTGGCGGGCCTTCGGCCTGGTACGAGAGGCCATGTAGAGTTTGGCGCCGCGCAGGGCGAACAGCCTGATGGTGTCGTAGCCGATGCCAGAACTGTTTGGCGGACTGGTCAGAGATGGCTCGTGGCGATGGTTGGAAGTTCGACCTACTTCCCCCCCGTGACGAGAGCGACCCTGCCGCGGAGATCAGGGGCATTGGCGAGGAAGTCCCACGAGCCAGTCATTGTTTCGACTTGCGGCTTGAGTTGTGATCAGACTAGAGGGATGTGAAGTCGAGATGAACGAACCCTGACGATAAAAGAGGTAGCTGAACTGTCATGGCGAAGGGGGAACTAAATATGGCCGGGATCGATCTTAAGTACGACCTTTGAACCAGACATTTACATCAGGAGAGGGCAGCACTCCTCAGGATCTGCCCACAGCAATAGGCCGTCTTCCGCATCGTTTCCTTCTGGTTACGAGGCGTTCATCAAAGGCAAAGACTGGACATGGCTGTATCTGTATAAGCAACCATGGGCCAAAGCAAGGACTCTCCCACGCAAGAGTGACAGCAAGAAGCCTGCCTGGGTGCACGCCCAAGCTTTTGCCGTTTTGGGTCTTCATTTTGGGTCTTCGGCAAGCGAAATATCACGCAAAGACACAGTTCACAGCGTCGTTGGGTCATAGGCGGACTATACGGACATATGCGGACTATACGTGGAGATGCGGGCCGCCTCTCTCCGCCGCAGATTTTGGGGGGGCACTCCGTGAGAAGTGACATCAATTTATGTTCTCTCCCCCCCCCCCTCAATGAGGTTTTTTTGTGGGGGGAGAGACGCCCAGCCGACCTCCCTGCAGCAAGATTTCACTGGCAAGGACTAGGATTTTTACGTGTCGGGAGATGTCCTTTTCCCCCCCCTCCAAGCATTTGGGGTAGACTTACAATGGGGGGGGGGTCACAAACTCCCCGA